AGCTGATGTACGGTGTGACGTCAAAAAAATCTTTGAGCCGTTTTGGCGGAAGTGACTAACTGCAAGCTTTGAATGCTTATATCTTCTAAATGCGAATTTTGTCACTGTTTTGGAGCACACTGCCTTATAGATAACCTTAAGACTTAGCATATTGATACTAACACCCACAAAACTTTAATTTTGATTCCATGGGGACTTTAAACATGGCTGCCAGATTGAATATGAAACAGGAAGTTACTCTAATGAGACAAGTACTAAACCATTCAGTCCTAACCCTGAACCGAATTGTTAATCAAAAGTGTGTGTGTGTGTGTGTGTGTGTGTGTGCATCCATCCATTGAAATTACATCCACAATGCCTGGTGTTCACACTTCTTGCTTATCTACCTCTGGAAAGGGCATGCCGTAGGTCTAAATAATGCATTACATCTTTAGTTTATCTTGGCCATACTGCAAAATAAGTCTATTTCCCCACTGCCAGTGAAAATATGCTTGCAGTGCTGCTAAGGTGTCAGTATGTGTGTGTGTGTGCGTGTACCTCTGAGACACTGAGAGAGCGAGAGAGCGATACACAGCAACATACTTTCTTATATATTTGGATCTCTGAGTTTTGTATTCTGGAGAGGTGTGAAAAACTAACTTGGAAAACGGCAAGAATAATCTTCAAGGCAAGGCAAGGCAAGGCGAGTTTATTTGTATAGCACATTTCATACACAATGGTAATTCAAAGTGCTTTATATAAAATAAAATAAAAACAATAATCACAACAATAAAACAAGGAATTTAAAACTTTGAAAATTATTTAAAAAAAAAATGTGATTTAAGAGGTTTAAAATGAATTTAAGAAAACGATTATACATAAACATGTATAATCAGTCATACACGTGCCTCTGCCCCAGGGACACGTCCGTGCCGGGAAATATTTGTATTTTTATTTGTATGCATTAGTCACATGAGGCTAGGTGGCTTAATGAAGTTGTGCTGGAGTAATCTGGGCTAAATTAGCTGATTAAGCATAGAAACAGTTTGGTCCACAATTCTTCTGTAATGAAAACACCATTTAAATATGCATTAAATCATAGAAAGAAGAATGTAGTAGACTGTAGATTTGCTTATTACACGGCTCTCAATTCTGATGTTCCTCATATTCTCATCCATTGCAATGCTGCAGATCAGTCCCCTCATCTGAGTAACTACTTTTCTGGCACTACTTTAATGTCTCTTTTATTACACCGTCTTGTTGTATTTTAACACAAGTGGTGCCGTCTTGCGCATTTATCGTTATCGAAGACTAAAGTGTTTACGGAATAATTAAGACAAAATAAAAATTAGCTCAAAATGTACTTAATCTGAGGCTATCCAAGAGTTTTTTCTTCATCAGAACAGATTTAGAAACTTAGCATTAGGCCTACATCACTTGCTCACAAATTGATCCTCTGCAGTGAATGGGTGCCGTCAGAATGAAAGTCCAAACAGGTGATAAAAACATAATATTACCTTAATATTGTTTCAGTGTTCAGTTAATTTTGTTGCAGTGTTCAGTTCAGTTTTATTGATCGTCTTATATCGCCTACATAAATACATCATTTTTAGTTGGATAGCTTTTTGAGATAAACATGCATATTGCCACTAGAAAGATTTCTTATTATTGTAAGCACTGAATGCTATAATAGACTTTAAATGAATTCAGATAGGATTCCCATTTATTTTTTACTTACCTTTTATCACCTCCTATGTTTAAAAACATTAAAGGTTATGAGTAATGAAGTTTCCATTATTCATATTCCGCACACACTTGTGGTCTGTATAGGGATTCTTGAACTTCCATAAATGTTTTGAGTTTTATTAAAATGTTCTTTAATATTATTCTTTTTGCTGGTGCTTCTACTCAGATTCGTACATTCTTATGACTTGTTCTTGTTATTGAAATGAATTTCATGCCAAACAGTCTTGAAGACCTTTTACATTTCCACAATAGTTTGACCTTCAGGATTCTCCGGCGCTCACACATTCTCCAGTGCTATACTTCATTCATGTATTCTACCTTTAGCGTGCAAACATGAACCCATCCACCTTGTTTTGCTCTTCATACAATGGGCTGAGCTTCTCCATTCCATCAAATCTGACAAAAGAACGTCTTCTTGCAGCCAAATACCAAATGCAGTGTGTTCTCCCTGTAGAAAGCCCATGTTTTGCAGAGATATTCCCATTAGTGGCAGAGGGAACAATATCACCATTACTCCTCCAAGAGAAGGACTTAGACGCCGAGCCAAATTTGTACTTGGGAAGAAAAGAGAGATGCTGAATGGTGGATAATGATCTTACCGAAGCCCTTCGGTCGTCTGAGTTTAGGTGGTAGTTCTTAGGTTCACTTTTCCTCTGTGTTGCTGTGACATTATCGCATCAAATGGGTCATTCCAGAAACATATTCTGCAGTCGTTAGCAACAGAAATGTACATAAAGAGTACTTCCATGCATGTTATTGTGATATTAGCTGATAAAAGTGTGTAACTTTATAAGTCTTACCCTGAGTAGGAAACAATAAATCAAAACCCTGAAACGGTCAACGTTAAATGAATTCTCAGTTTTTCATTCCTGTTATCAAGGAAAAAGTTGGATGTGCTTGAAGTAAAAAATGATCATGTTTACTGAAGCTGAACTTCTTAACAAATGGAAAAGCTGATTTAAAATCAATATGCTGCCTTGTTCAAGGGCAGATTAACTCCAGATGCAAGAAGTTTGACACATCGCTTTAAGAAAAATAGAAATAAATGTGATAAAATATGCAGAAATAAAAACACTCACTGGATCTTTTTAGAAAATAATCTGCAATATCTTTGCTCCTATAAATAGGAGTGAACGACTGGAATGATGCAGCTGATTTTGGCTGAGCCTGTTTGTTGGCTTGGTTCAAAGAATTTGTTGAATACACAGTGGATCTGCTGAGCATATAGATGCACTGAATTGTTTATTCTCTTTATCAGTGTTGCATATCTCTGCCTTGATAAAGAGAACGTTGCATTTCTGAAAGAATATAACACAAATGTAGACAGGGTGAACTCTATTTTTCTCAGCCAGGAAAAAACTACAAGAGCATCTCTGGATCCAGTTGATCTTTCTTAGGGTTTATGGTTGAAAACAAAAACAACTTTTATATCACTTACTGTATATAAATGTACTGTTTCTATATAAAACGTGCATTATGTATTATTAAAAAAAATACTGTTGAAACTCACTACACATATACTGTTGAAACTATGTATATATGAGAATATACATATATGGTATTGTAATTAACCTGTAATTTCGAAAATGAAATAAAAGTTCACAGTGCATTGTGTAATTTGTTTATCAGTGTAACCTGTGATAGCACAGAGACTATTGCAGGGATTGCCAATAATTGCTCTGCCATAAAGATGCAGAATATTGGGTCGGCCCATTTCACTTTAGCTCTTACTGAAAGTTTAACAAGTAAATCTTTCAAAACAACCATAATTTTGGTAAATAATACTGTCATCCATTTCTTAAAGTGCCATTCTAATGTAAAGAAACAGCTGATAAAGTGTCATTATTTGGTCACTTATGCTGAATTTCCAAAATGAAATATTATGTGGACTGGTTTATAACTAACATAAAAGTGCAATATTACTTCATCAACATTTCTTTTGTTTTCAAAGCAGACACACAAACACATAAAAATACACACAAACACGAGAGTCATAAATTAGTTACTAAGAACCACAAGACAAATGTTTCTGGAGCATCTCCTTCAAAATGAATCATTTAGCAGGCCCGTGTTGTCACACACTTTATAATCGTGAAAAAGGCTGTAAAACGTTCTGTTTAAAACAAACCCGTGCGATAGATGGGCAGTTTACTCACAGGCAAGACCAACTCCATAAAACAGGTTCTCAAACAAACATCAATAGCTGTTAATATTTAATTCTGCCCATCCGATAATGCATTTCACTGAAACAAATCATTACTGTATTGAATTTGAGATAAATGGTGTGCAGAAAATTCTGAGGCTTAAAGCATTTTCCACTATTCTGCAAAGTATGCAATTTATATGCATGTGTTATATAAAGACATATGCGATTATATATCATGCTTTCATCGCAGGCACAATTTAGGTTCTTCATTTTGCAATGAAAGACACATAAAACAGTACAACACAGCAACATAAAGTCCTTTTAAAGTTTTATTCACTTAAATTTCTCAGTGTTAAAGCAACAAGAAAACATTTAGAATGTCCTTTGGTGTGATTTTCTGTTTTACACGTCAGTATATATACTGTATGTAAACTGATATTCTTTGATGCCAGCACATTGCCAATATACTTTAGGAAAACTACACAATCCAACTGAAGGGGAAAAAAAGTGTAAATGAAATAAAATTTCAGACGAACATAATCAGATATTTAATTCAGTATGCACCTTGATTGAATGCACTAAAATGCTGCCCTTAAACACATTTCAGCAATATTACAAAAAAGTATATGTTATACATTATCTTTACTCTGTCAAGAAAATAACTTCTGTATTAATACAAAAATTAAATACACTGATGACTGTCTAAGCACTTCATCTGTTTGTGTGAAAACATCCATCTTTGACCGTGGCCTCAGCAGACAGTCTGTCACATTTCAAAATCATGAGTTTTTTAGACATGTTTTTTGGAGGATAAGGGGGTGTGCCACATGAGTGTGACTAACATCACAGACTTAAAGGAAAACCCAAAAATGATATATATTAAAAAATATCAAGGGTTACAGAATAACATTCACAAAAGCACAGGGCGAAGGAAGGACGGGGCTTTTGACACAAAGGACACTCTAAAGTTTATTTTCGAGGGTGGGTCAAGGTGGGATGGGATGTGTTGGCAGGACGAGCTCAATTTGAAAGCAGATCAAATGTGACAGTCTGAATCGATTTCCTTATATCCACAATGCACTGACAGCAAAGAATGCTTGTTTCTTTACTTGAGTCTCTCTCCATATTATTACTGCTTTTTTGTTTTTTTGCAATTGCCAGTTCACACAATCCAGACAGTTTTCCATCGCTCTGTGTCACAATAGCCAAAAGCAGTCTACAGCCAACATGATACCCAGAATGGTTCAGGTGAGAGGCGGCAGCTGGCTTTACTTGTACATGCCGCTGGCTGAACGCAGCTCCCGTTGCCGTGGTGATAAAGAGAGGAAAGGGATGAGTCTTGTCCGCTCCAATCCCTGTCACTCTCTCGCTCTGTTAGGGGAGTGAGTATCTATTATGGCTTAGTTCACGTCTCTACTTCCTCTTATTTGCTTCATGAAGCATATGCTCAGGTAAATTCTATAAATAACACCTTGATGTTTTTTTTTTACTTTTCGATTTTCATATTGAATCCATTTTTATAAATACTATTTTTATTGATGTATTATTTATTGTATTTTCAATAAGAAAATTTCGCTTTGATATTTGGGCACATTCCACATGGCCGGCCAAGTGTCGGTGAGTCTGGTGCGCTGCTCATACAGAAGAAGCTGGACAGTTGGAGATCTGCCTCTCAAAGGACTGTGGTCTAGCAGATCTCCACGTGGAAAACGGGACCCAGAATGCACAGCAGCAAAAGCAGGATCAGCCCAGGGGGGTGGAGGGAAGCCTGGCCAGAGTCTGACCCTCCGCAGCCTCCTGGCTCGTTTTCACACTGCGGTTTCTCACACAGCAGGCCGGTGTACGCCGGAGGACACTGACAACGGATATTGTTCACACACACACCGCCGTTTTGGCAACGCAGAAGTTCATTGTCGCACACCCGGGCTGTGGCATTGAGAGGAAAATGGTAAGCAGAAGACAACCCCCCCGCCCCCACACACACACACATATAGGCTACACCCAAACAAGTATGAACACTTCTATGATTACATAGAGCTCTATCCTGAGATATCATATATTCATATAATGCTGAAAATAGACAGAAAGAGTCAATACAAAGTGCAGGCAAAGTATTGATTGAAATTAATCACAAGTAGAAAACGTAATATCATTATTAATAGAAATTCGTAAGTGAAAAATATTGATGGACTTTTTTTCTCACAGAAAAATGAACTCTTGAGATTTTATTAAAAATGTTTCAAAAAGGCATCCCTGCTCAACGGCCACCTCAACATAGTTATTTAAAAAAGTAAAAATAAAGAAAATGTCTTTCAGAGATCTCAGACTTTTCTCCAAATCCCTGAAAAATGACTAGAATTCTGCATCCCATGGTGGCACTGTACCCCACAGGTGTATCAGGTGCATTAGTATATTTAACAACAGGACACTAATGCCAGACCTCGGACGTAAGCGGTTGAGCAAGCTTCAGGCAAACAAATTCCTGTGCAAACTAGCAAAACCAACAGAGACAAATAAAAACGGATGAACAAGCCATGCCTCTCACATCTTCAAAGCACTGTAATCCTGCTGATTGGAAAATAATCATCTAACACACAAACATTGACCTCTATCAGTTTGCGAGGAATGCTTCTGAGAGGTCTTGGGCTTTGCAGCATCTGTTTAATGGCTGTTACTGGGCTATTTTGGGATGGACTGAGCTGACAGGAAAAGCTGGATGATAGAGAGAGGAGGTGTAACTCTCCCAGTCATAACAGGCTGATTAGGGAGCTGGCAGAACTACATAGTCTCCAGCTTCTCTCTCTCCATCTCCTGTGTGGATACAGGCTTTATGGTTGAGTCAGGGAAAAATGAGCCCGTTTGTGTCCATAATTCCCTCTGTTCATCACTGCTGAGTCAATCATGATGCAGATCAATCGTTCCCTAGTGAAAACCCAGATTTGTACCACAAAACAAAATCCTAGAAATTGTACCTGCAAGATGAACAAGCTATTTGAATTATCTGTGATTAACATGCATAAAGATTGAATGTGTTTAATTAGTATTAGTCTCATTAGTATTTGTAGGCAAATCATACATTTCTTAATGTTTAGTACATACTGACACAATTTTTCAAATACTACTACTAATAATAATTACTGTAAATTAAAATGTGCTAAATTATTCTAATTTGACACTTCACTTGTTTCAGTCTTCTCTGTCCGATCTTTAAAGACTTGTTGAAATCAGAGTCCAAGTGTACAGAAATATATGGGCATTATAACCAAGTCCTAGTTGCACTCACTAAGCTACTTGAGTTTGAATTAGGTTAGATTATCTAGATTAGATTAGTTTATCTAAATATTTTCTTAATAAAAGAATCTAACAACAACAGTACACTGAAAAAAATTGGTGCAGAATTTACTTTGAAACCATTTTCACTCAGAAATGGAAATAAATTTAATAAAATGCAAAATTTTGAAGTAGAAAGATTGAAATATTTTCTTGTAAAATGTATTCTAAAAATCATTGATTTATTTACAACTTCCAATTGTTTTTTTTTAATAGTGCATGTTTTACTCTGGTGTAGTCATGACGTGACCATCAGCTGTCTCTGAGCACATTTTTTTACCATGTTTAGTCTGCCCTTTAAGAAAGAAATGATGAATAAAAACAACTGTATTGCTTATTAAAGAGGCTTTATCGATTTATTGTTCTGGATTGGAGATTTAAAATCTTCTTTATTGCCCAAAACACGTTTAGACTACTGTAGATGTTTCCTATTACAAATGAAGTGATTCTTTAGAAGTGTACGACATATTGACTGTTTGCAATTGAGACATCAATGTTGTCTTTTACCAAACTGTTCATGAAAAGGAGATTGTACAGAAAGAAGTAAGAGGTAATGAGTGGTCTGTGTCTGTGGAAAGAGTTTTAGAACACCTCCTCTTTGAGGGAAAGAGAGCAAATTGATCGATTGCCTTTTCCACAACTGTGGCCATTGGCAAGAGTGTGCTTGTGCTTCATCTGAAGAAAGACTTAAAAGAGGCACAGTTTTGCAGGTAATGTATCTCTCAAGAGCAGAGGTGGGGGCAAGTCACACATGTTCAAGTCTCAAGTCCCTACCATCAAGTCTCAAGCAAGTCTCAAGTCACAGTACAAACAAATCAAGCAAGTCAAGTCAAGTCAGTGGCTCACCTCAAGCAAGTCAAGTCGAGTCCTTCTAAGGATCAAGTCAAGTCACAGTATCAAACAGGAACACATTTTTTTTTTGCCACACGACCTTATTAATTTTTCCTCAGAAATTAACTTAATTATACATTTTAAATAATAATGTTTTAAATATAACATTTTGAATATAGGCAAAATACTACTTTGTATACCGCTAAAGTCTGTAATTGAGAAAATATTGATAAAAATACAAGATACAAATATGTATCTCATATTTATGTTAGGCTTTGTAAATGCATACAGTTTCGAAGTGTTTATCCAAACATCTCGGGAGATTCTGTTGCTCCCTGTATTTGGCACGCTGCGTTCCTGACTGTGCTCGTGCAGTGTCATGAACTGCGCAGACTCGGATCACTTCTGCCACTGGTTCAGTGGCTTGCATTTTGTTTACCAAATTATGTCACAATGATTTATAATAATAATAATTAGAGTTGTTATAAAGTCAAGTCCTGCCGAGTCATGAAGGTCAAATCAAGTCAAGTCTCAAGTCACTGGATCTCAAGTCCAAGTCAAGTCAAGTCATTTTCTTTATTTAGTCAAGCAAGTCACAAGTCCTTAAATTTGCGTCTCGAGTCAGACTCGAGTCAAGTCATGTGACTCGAGTCCCCCACCTCTGCTCAAGAGTTTGGGTCTTTTTGGTTCACCCTGTGAGTTCAATTCTTTCTGTCTCAGTTTGATATCCCCTGATGACCAGGAAAAGGTGCTGAGGCAAGAAGAGATTGTGTCAGTGATTTATAGCTGTTATGGGCGCTAACAAACACCTTTAACTTCCAACGGAAACTATTTACTCTGCTGTTGGTCCTACAAACAGTTTAACCTCTATAGCCTACGCCACACTCTCTAGAGCCCATGCACGAGAAGGCATTTTCATCTAATAAATATAAACACCTATTTTAAGAGAGCAACAGAAGGTATGTATGTTTAAAGCATGTGGATTCACAAGCAGGAAAAATGTGCTCAACCTCTAATTATGCATTCACAATTTGCTTGCATGTAAATAAACGGTAATAAGAGAATAAATTGAGCAATTTATTGGGTTTGCTTTTGATAAGAGGGATCATATTTATTGAGAACAGCAGTAGATTGTGTGGTGCACTGGGAAGAAAAGGCTTATTTGAAGAAAGATTTGAGCTTTAATTGCATACCGAAATCTGCATACAGATAGACGGGATCAGGAAAATGAGCCTTAGATTGCATTTATTACACACATTATGGCCTTTGGGACTTTGAATGAGATGAATGCAACAAACTTAAATCTCTTGTCTAGGACATCTAACAAAAAGTGTCTGTGTTGATGACAACATCAAATTAAAATGGTTATGGTGCTTTACTGTAGTACATACCATCGGCTGAAACAGTCACATGGAAATGGATCTTCATGCTGGTGAATGATGGATGTGTATAAAGAGTCACACCTCTTTATTTCTTTCCAATATGTCTCTCAGAACAGACAGTAATGGAAGTGCATTTGCCACATGTCACTATTTGCACCAAACGCTCTGGTTTACTTTATTCTCGTGTGATGTTGTGAATTTCTGCTTCTCACACTAAACCAGCCTTGTTGTGTTGGGTTCAAAGCCGCAATGAACTCAATATACACATATTTACTGGACTGTCCATCTCACATTATTACAGCCAATGTCCCTTTGAGATATCTGAGGCTTGGGTAAATGTTGACCTTTGATGCTGGAAGCCCATTGAAGAATACAAATCAATACTTGACCTACGGATCGTTTCAACCACAGCGCTTGGAGCCAAGAGAGAAGAACCAGCCATCACAGTGTGGCCATAACAGCAAACAGCCAGAGAAAACAGCGCAGGCGTCAAATGTTCTGCTCACTCCAAATATTAGCTCAGCTGTCTGTGTTCATCTGCGCAAATGCATGTGCATGGGATTGTGCCTGAGGATTGTTTGCATGGTTTATCTCTGTGCTTGAGAAAAATTCTACAATAATACTATTAATAAAAACTATGCTAATTAATGATTATAATAATTCCTTCAAAATTAATTCTGCAGTTAAACCTCTAACAAGGCAGTATAACAGGTGTGACTGAGCCTTGAATGGAAATCAGTCCAATATTTTTTTTTCCAAGTGCTGTAAGCAAACCAAGCTGCTCATTCCCGGGTAAGCCAATAAAGCAGCAGCAAACAGAGAAAGTAAAAAGAGGGAGAGAAGATGGGAGGGAGGGTAAGAGAATGAGAGAGGCAAAAGAGAGCAGGGGACTGAAGCTGCAGGTTGGGTGGGGGTTCTACTTACATTTGCAGCCATTGTCCCACAAATATCCTGGCAGACACTCATGACACTTAGCCCCTGTCGCTCCCTCCTTACATTTACAATATCCTGTGCCATTACAGCGATCAGTGTCTGAGCCAAAGGGATTACAATTACAGTCTGTAGAAACAAGACACACACATACACACAGTGGAGATATGGGGTCTGTGGTCTTCAGCCTCTCAGATCAGCTCATGAGTAAAGTCCCTCTGTCCCTCTACACAAAAAGCATTTTCTCTCAAAATGGGCCTCTGCTGCCTCCTTCATGCACATTGCTAGTCTACAAAGGACAGATTTATAACATGTATAACTGAATATTTACCTCACATCTACCATTTCGAAGGAATAAAATGAGAAGCATCAGCTGGGGAAGGTGAGGGTGGAAAATGTAAACAATGGCATTTAGTTTAGTAAGGAAAACGAATGTTTGTGAATGTTCAACATCTTGGTCCCATAATGCAAAAGCGTTGACCGTTACCGAATGACTGCACTGTGCATTCTGAATTTTTTTTTACAAGAATATATTTCTATATTTTGTTGAGTGTAAAAAAAAGATGGGTGGCATGAAGGAAAGGGAACATACAAAAGAGAAACAGAAAGACAGACACGTGGTGGAGGATTCCTGATTAGCCAATTCGATTGTTGTCCACTGATTCTGACACTGATTCTGTTCAGAAATATCTAATAATTAAATCATTTGATACAACAGAAAATGTCCTTAAAGGTGACCATTTTATTAAAGTCTACATAAAGTGGCATTTTCAATGCATTTTACTTGCATAATTTTAATGGTGTATTTCTGAGTAAAACAAGATACTGATCGGAAAAAAGAGAGTGTGACTTGATTTTATCCCAGTAAATAGTACATTTTGATTTCATGTTGACTATAAGTTTTTGGCTATGTCAGTAACTCTCCAGGTCATGGATCCCCCAAAGACATCTGTCCAAATAACCAGGTTCTGCTTATGGTGCTGAAGTGCCATTCAAAACCTGCATTTCTGCGATATCTACTGTACGAAGACGACAACTAATTTGAGCAGATTTTGAGCTACTGAGGGGTATTAAAAATGCAAAAGTTTTAATATTATCAATAATCTGATTCATTTTCTGAAGAACTTGGACATGTAGCCTGATCCGTGTAATTGCATTTCTGATCACGGCAGTCCATTTGCTCTTAAACATTTCTTTTTTGGAGGAAACTAATCATTCCTTTTTAAAATTCTCCTACTTCTTTTCAGTATAAATTCATCAATGTTTTCAGATGCCTAGCACAACAGAACTCTTTACAAGTGTGAACATAGCCTTAAGGTTTTGCTACAGAGCAGGTACTTGTTTCATTTCTAAGTAGAAGATGTTAATGCTTATTAATTATTAATGCTTTGCTAAAACACGAACATAAACCTCTTCCAAGATGCACTTTTCACATATTTTGTCAGTTCTGTGTCCCTCCTGTGACTACAGATATTTCTAGGTTGAGGTGGAGGTCAGAGTCTGTGACCTGTAACACCTAAAGATGTGTGTGTAAGTCACAAAGTCGTGACCTGCTCCCAGATACCTCTCTTGCTCTCTTCTTTCTCTTGCTTCTTCTTTCCGAGAGTGACATATGCAACACGCAGCACCTTTTTCTGTGGGTGCGAGCCCTCCCAGACACCTCACTGGGGAAATGTGATGGCAGACATCACCTCTGTCTCTCAATGACACCTGTCTGGCTTTCTTTTTTTCTTAATGTCTGTTCTTGTTCTCCGCTCTACCGTCTTCTTTTCCTTTTCTTAGCTTTGTAACAAACATTAAAAATTACACTATTTTTCCTACTCTGCTGTGGATCATCACGTCATACTTGCTGGTTTTGTAGTCAAAGACTTGAGGGAATTTGGATCAACGTGACTTTGCTGACGCACACAAGCATGCGTGAAGAGACTCGGGTGACGACAGAGGGATGGACAGATACAGAGAAGGGAGTGAAGTGATGGAGGATGATGGAGCAATAGAAACAGAAAGCCAGATGGCAGATTTGGGGGAAGTGTGATGTGCGATAAGCCGTGTTGGTGGATGGGAGTGCTGAGGACTGACCTATGCAAACATTCTCATCGTCCAGCTCTGCTGAGGCATTGCGGTAGTATCCAAGTTTGCACAGCTGGCAGTGCTGCCCTCTAGTGTTGTGCTTACAGCTCACGCAAATGACGATGTTTAGCACCTCGATGTAACTGCAGCGATTGGAGTGACTGAAACATTCGCAGTCTTGCAAAAAGGGGAGAGAGATGTGGCTGTGTTTAGGGTAAGTGTGTGCGAGTTGCGGCGGCGCTGCAGAAGAGGGGCACCATGGCATGCGAGGTTTGGATGGTCTGAAACAGCAGAAGCGGTATTAGATGTAAGATAACCGTAAGATGAATGGAGAAGCGGTGTTGTTATTAGAGAGTTCACCTCGAGCAAACCACAGGGATGAAGAGGAAAATAAAAACAGGAATGTTACACGGAAATTAAACACAAACAGATGCAATTTTCAATCTCGGCAGAATGCAAGTGCACATGCGATTTGAAATTTACATCCGCTGTATTCATTTTCTATTGCTCATGGAGAGTTGTCTCACAGAAATGATGGAAGGGTGTAGTGAAGGAGCTGGAACTTTCAAACACGAGAATAAAACAATGGCTTCTATTTTCTATGCCCCCGAAATAACAAAGCTTCTCAGGTCGAAAACGGGTACACAAACTGTATCCTCTCCGCAAAACTACTGCCATAAAAATGAAAGACAAAGCATTTTTTTCCAGTATTGATTCTGTCAGCTCCAAAATGAGAAATAGCACAAGCAAATCAGAAATAACTTCCTATCTATTTCCCCATAGCCTCCAAAGAAACCAAACAATGTTTATCCAGGACCCGCAAGGAGTCTGTCCTACTTTCACAATGAAGTTGAATATCGATGCTCGGATGCTGCATAACGTAACAAACTGATGGCATTGCCCTGACCTGCCAGGGACACTTGGTCAACTGACCAGTGCTCTCAACCCAGGGGGTCTGACAAATCTTCTCACACTGAGTTACGCTCATAAAGCCTCCACGTCCCTCCCTCCTGAGATGATTCCAGGGCTTTCGGCAGAAATGGAGGGCTTCTCATTATCGAAATCTGGATTGAGGTCAGGCCTCCTCTGCAGCCTTTTCCTCCGTCCCCCGACTGGAGGAGTTGAGACAGAGATATCTCCTGTAAAGCGATCTCTAAAGCTGCCTGGATATGTCAATCATTCTGCCTGGAAAATGTTTTAGAGGGCCCACTTTAACAAAAAAATAAAATCGACGGGCTTCTCGTTTGTGAGCCACTGCGGAATTATATCAGATTCAATGTTCTCATTCACACTCGGATCAGAAACACTATATAACCCATTAATCTGACAAAGTCAACATGATTTGAACACTTCCCTTCTGATTCATCCGTCTCTTCCATTTTCAAAGACTTGTGTCTCTAAGGAATTTGGTACAGAGCTTCCATGATGATTCAGGATGGAGCTGATCATAAAATAAAGTAAACAATTAAGTAGGCTAAATACACTAAAATCAGTATCTTTTTACTGGTATATCTTGATACTATGCAAAGTGGGAATAGTAGGGTCAAGGGTAGGTGTTCTGCAAGTACAGAAGGTACATGACTCTAGATTCATTCAGGGCATGGTGAAGGGGGTAATTCGGACAACATACACTGACACAGAATAGTGAGAGTATATGAATCTAGTCCTCCTACCTCTCTTACTGTTTGCAGCTTGTACAGAAGGAACAGTTGACAAAACAACTTGAGGAGCTATTAGACAAAATAAATCAAATAAAAACATATTAAATCAACAGAAACCCTAATGATAATATGAACACTACATACTGTCTGTACCAAAAGCATGAAGTTGACAATAAAACAAGAATTTTGACTATTTAAATCCTGTTGCTTTGTCATAAATAATAAAAAAGACACAAAAAGAACACAGTGCACGTTTCAGTCACTGCAGCTGCTGTGGTTGGAAGTTTTCGATGGCTTTAGAAAAGAAAAAGCCTGAATTGCTGGCAGAAACTGCTCAGCTGGCATTAGTCTAGTTGAGCTTCACCAGACTTCTTGTGTGAGAGCGCGTAAGGCTTAGATCCCCACGTCCCGCTGTCAGTCCGACTCAGCAGCAGAACAACAGGGCTCAGAACAATCCCAAAGTTATCAGCTCATCTTGCAGTCACAAAACAAACCAAGGGGCAGTGAGCATTATGTCTTTTACTAACCTCCAACCCCCAATTCAATCAAAAACGCTGTTTATTCAGGACCGTTGTTTGTGTGATGCTTCTTTTTTTGGACATCTGCGCAATGGATTATCTATGAAAACTCCCCAGCAGGACTGAGAAAATATTGAAGGGGCCCAAGAGAGAGCGCCATGCGTAATTAAAATGGAGGGCGTAACGCTTTAAATCATTGTGTGTGTCTTTATGGCTGTTCAGCTTGTTTCTTAGAAATGCTGATTGCTCAAAAATCTCACAGCTTTCAGACATGTCAGAAACTGGTACGTGAAAGAGAAAAAGCAAAAAGAAGACTTTTGTCCATCTGGAATGATTTAGTACAACAAATATGAAAAAAAGACTAGCTGTCAGCAAACTTCTGCTGAATCTGTTTCACTCTTACAACAGCCTAAAAATTGTTCTGTGAGTCAGATCAAACGAAATTGTATCCAAGTTAAAAATGTACCCTACCTTGATTTCGGTTAGCGACACCTAGGGATGAAATGTTCTGCCGAACTGCATGCATACAGGAGAAATCAGGTGTTAATTGAATGCAGTGGCTGTCATATGTTAGATGCACTAGGACGGGTCCAGTCTGGACTCATGTACACATAAACAGCTACACACATCTCCAGATGAGTCATTCATAAAGTTGAGCTGTTAGGCTCGATGAGAAGAAGCAACCAATAGACCAATCACAGATCATCTCTAGAGATTGTATGTAATTGAGCTGTGTTTTGTGGCTTACTCTATATTAATGCATGGGAATGACGGCTGACAGCGATGAAGGGAAATTCTGTCAGTCTTTCGGGTGCACCATGTGAGACTGGATTGTGCGCATGTGTAATTACGGTCGCTTGAGATGCTTGTTCAACTGATCAAATTGATTCATTTGAAGTGTGGTTCTGTATGACAAAAAAGAGCTAACAACTGAAATGACAATTTGATGGGAATATCCTCATAATTACATACAATTCATTTCCTTAGAGGCGGAAATATTAAGGCTGGGAATGGAGCAGTCTCGTGTCAATGTCAGAGGCAGCACTAAAGTGAGAGGGCCAAACCAAATGCTCCATCCATCCAACACAAACATGGTTAAGTCCCTTATGTGCTGCTTCGTGGTTGACCTCAGTGTGTGGGACACACTGTGAAACGAGGACAGGGTGCAGGAATTCCGGTAAGGACACGTCTATGAATTTGAAATAGTTTTTTTTTCACCAGGGACATAGCATGGTGGTTGGGGACTCGGAATGCATGCAAACGCAGGTTACTGACAGAGTAAAACCATCTTGAAGACCCATTATGAAATGGCCTCTATGTCCAATCACATTGGGAGAAATTATTATTTTTCCATGTGATTTGGGGAATTCCGTGAACTTAACTATGAGTTTTCAGTTCAAGCTCCAGTAATATTTTATGAGAGAAATTAAAGATGAAAAGCAAATAATTTCTCTAAGATTAATAACATAATGTGAGTTCAGGGTTTGTCAACATCATAAAGTGCTTCTTTTTCTTTAGATTAGTACTTGGTTTGTCAGCATCATCTCATCAATAAATTTGCTTTGTTATCTCATTAAAAAAAAAATTTTTTTTTTACAATTTATTCTAATAATTCTTAGCCTTTAGCTTTAATTTGTAAACTTAAAAAAAAATTAAACATAAATGCACCATTTGGATCCAGCAAACTAATCCGATATTTGGAGAAACACTTTTTTTCCACAACCCTTTTCATGGAAGTTTTCTTTAATTTTCTTACCCAGCGAGACACAAAGAGTGAGCATGCAGCAATTGACAACCACTGGAATCGCTATCAGTTTGGAAGGGATCTGACCTCAGAGTGATGGACAAATCCAGCTCTCATCTCTCATCACATTACATGACACTCACACACAGAAGCCACTGTCGTGATACTCATGGGACCACTTTGAGAGCTTCATTATTGATATAAAATGTGTTCCGTATTAGCAAGTGATTAGGAGTGATGCTCGTCGCATCTGCTCTTCATTAATGTTTTTGTTAGTGAAAATTTGGATAAATGAGAAGTGACATATTTTAATCAATGCCAAACCCAGTAATGAAAGGCAAACCTGTATAGCCAAAATCTCATCTTAAAATATTAATTTTGCTCTAATGCCTGCATTAGGCAATTCTGGCTGGCTTAATAAACTTGAAATAAAATTGGGAAAAGTCAATAAAGAATTTAATTACCCTCAAGCAACGCTGAGGAAACGGCAGTGTTTTCTTTTTCAGTCTCGGGCATAACATTGTTTTTGTGACGGAAGAGAGAATTGTGTTTATAATTGTTATAGTGATGGCCAGAATACAGTTTTAGTGCTAAAAGTAACATGAAGCTGTTTGGGACCCTGGTTGCATTGTGAGTATCTCCTCTTTGTGTCTTTCTGGATGGAGGTGTGTAAATTCACCATGAGGACAGTGAGTGAATGTTCATGGTACAGTAGCATGACATTTGAAATAAGAAATAATGGAGTGAGCCCATGCAGAAATGGCACAGCACAGGCCATGCTATACGGCCAAATACAAAACAGACTTGAGAAGAGGAGAAGGGAGTGTCCACTTGGTTTGACATACATTTCTGATGAAAAGTGCAACCTTAGTGCAAGTTTTTTTGTTCCCTGGAAACATCAAATGTATAAATCAGACTCCATTCGCTCTTGTAAAAATTACAATGTTCATTATTGAATATTTGATTTGTGTAATGTTATTCCATACACCTGAGATATATTATAACAATCTATCCAAAGAGGAAATGTGCATATTTGTCCTGGACTCAAGAGAAGTGAAGCTTGTGGAAATATTCAGGGCTCTACATGCATTCTGACTTGTTCAATATCTCTGTGGCTCCAGTTTTCACATTCAACCTCCCTGCGCCTGTAACTCTATTTGTCTGCTGGCGTATGAGGCCCCTGGCATGACCAGATAATACAACACAGATCTGCATTCCTCATATTAAAATGATCTTCCCCTCTTTCTACTTCAGACGAGATCCTGAACTGCTTTACACCCCCTGTAGCATTTATAACACATCTAAAAGAAAAAAAAGAAAAAAGAAAAAACAATGGTATTCTAAATGCATGCAAAGCGTAAGTCAGCATTTGAATTAGTCCATCCATAAACTTCACTATGGCAAACTGCTGTTTTCTAGAAATAGTTTAACTTAACCCTGTTCCAACTTCCAAACCAATCAGATTAGGTTGCACAGTTTATATCCGATAGATCTAATGAAAATCAGAAATAGATGTTTAACCAGAAGTGGACCTGAAGTGAAGTGAGAAACAAAGCTGTTCATATCGCACTTCTGGTTGATATAGATCTTTGAGTTTGTTTACTTACTAACTGGACCAACACTATTTGGCAGACCTGGAAGAGAGATGAGATAAAAGATCATATTAGCAACAGTAAATAGCACTAGCAATACAACAAATAGCACTTTTAAAATGTAATAAAATGCAATAATAACAAACAGAACATTAATAATTATGTCTATAAAATATTATTTCTAGACAAATAAATATTAATACAAATATTAATAAAAACATCTACAATGCACAAAACATGTAATTATAGTTTTTCTATATGACGGAGAACTCTTGGAAACAATGCTCTGGTGGCAGAAAGAGAACTGAACTCATGCCCCTGCCATGTGCCATCGATCTAGTGTGCACCATCTAATCTCTCTCCCTGAGCTCTGCTTCACAGAGACAGTTAAGAGCCAAATTTATGACCTTTGGAAGTAGAGCTGAGAAATTACTAGGAAAATGAAGGCTGCAGGCACCTCCAATGAACACGTGTGAAGACAGAAAGATAGCAAGAGGGAAGAGAGTGGAGAGGTCAACCTGCCCAGGGAAATATATGCCTTGGTATTCACATCTGCCAATACAAAAGAGTCTTTACTTGAAGAAATCCTGCTCGATTTTCATTTAAGAAATTAAGCGAGAAATCTTGCACACTTCTCTGACTCTATAATCTTATATGCAAACTATAGCACATGGGACATAGCACATGCTTTGTTCCATTTTCAAACTTTCCGTCCCCTAAACATTTTTGCTGGCCCCCTATAGCACCCCCTTGTGGACTCCAGGGGGTGCCCATTTCACCAGTTTGAAGCCCCCTGCTTTAGAGTGAAGTTTTACTATGTCTATATATGCCAGATTATATCAACAGTGCAACAGCAATACATTCTCTCTCTCTCTCTCTCTCCTTTTTTTCTGGGGGAAAAAGTGGTTGCAATGTTATTCTGGCAGTTTTTTTTCTGGGTGATTTATTTATTTACTTTGCTAACACTTGGCTACCTCTTTCAATGTGAGTCTATGAGATTATTTTTTATTTTTTTTACTTGCAAGTCATGATGGAAAAATTATGTCTCATATTGATGCTGCATCTGACACCACAGAAACACATACAGACGTCTCAATACACTCTAAACAGCATCAACAGTGTAACACAGCACCTCTCATAGCACACTGCCCGCTCTCTTTGCTTTACATACATGGCTTTTAGTCATGGTGCACATTCATCCTCACAATTCATGTAAGTGCAATACAACCTCTTTATTTATTTATTTATTTATTCATCTCTCCTCTTTTGAGTTGGACAGTCGTCCGCCTGAGACGGATGCAAAATATCATGTGTCATTTCATTAGATTACCTTTCAATCACAGCGGTTTTCAGCCCCCTTCACCTGCTGGAACTCTCCATTATGTTGGGGAGCAGGAATCGAATTGTGAAGCCTGATGCAGAAACACATTAGGCTGCTTATGTTTATTGCATACTCCATTGATTTTTACCATCTGAACTTCTGCACTCTGGGGTTACTCAAGTCTCCAGGATCAACCATTGATGGGCAGGAGTGTGTGTGCTAAATGAATACACTTTCTGGAAGATTTTTCCATTTGACCTGTTCCGTATTTTACATGTTAGTTTGAGATTTTTATGCTACTGGCTGTTTAACACACCTGAAATATTATCTGACAAAATGTGAAAAACAATGTACCTTCTGAGGCTTGTCACTGTGGAAGTAACCTTAAAGTGACAATTATGTACCTTATCTACCCCTAAAAGGTGCATATTAGTACCTTAATATGAACCCTTAAGGTAACTACTATGAACCTTTTAGGGGTAAATAAGGTAGAACGATGTCCCACCAGTGACGTGCTGTAATACCTCAAAGGAGTGTATATATATATCATAAATATGCCATATATACTTTTATATACTTATTCTCCTTCCTTCTATTCATATTTTAAACAAATACTTCCTTGATTTTGTGCAAATCCACTTTTCCATAAATTAATAAGACCCTTTACTCACAATCAAGCAATTATGCTGACAAAATACACCTACAATGTTGTATGAACCTGCACAGAATGATAAAGAATAGACAGTCTCTTGGGGGAAAAATCCATCCACACACACCTAAACACATGCTATACTGACAGTTAATTTTTCAGGCTTCTTCCCAGAGGTTGACGGGACGTAATTAACCCAACCTGGGCAAGATACCAGATCTGTCCTGCCCTACATAACACACTCACTCGCCTGCCAAGTCATCCAGCTTGAGGGATTCCTGCTGGACAGCATGAAAATTGTGACGACTTCCCTTTTTTCCCATTTGAAATCTGTTCCTTAACTGCCCACTTCCATCGCCAGCGAAAGGACTAAACCCTCTGTGATGCTTTATTTCATGTTTCATGTTGGAAACAGAACTAGTTGAATTGCTAGTGGCCTCATTATTGTTGTTGTGGTAGAACAACATCTTGACCTTCACAGAGTCTCATCTGTTTGCTTTTTCCTTCCACCTGGACATTCCGGTAATGCTTATCTACAAAATTTCTACCCTTGGCAAAGTTTGTAATTACTTTCCCAGGCCGCTTAGATCTCCTGGCCATCCATCATCCGTTTTCTACCCGGATTTGAGCTGTGACATGCACAAGCAACCGTGTGGCTCAAAACAGAAGGAAATGTGACAATCCACACCTGTGGAACTTGTTGTCCAACCTCTGCTACAGTAACGGCGCCCCCATTGAATGTTTTACAGAGCAGAGTGAATAGATTTGTACGGGAGATGGCAAATATGAAAAAGTGACTGCGATGAGTCACAGTTAAGATTCTGGGAATGCGACGCATGGCAGAAAATCCTGTGATGGAAGAAACAAATATTTGAAAGAGAGATTACCGTTGCAGCAGCACAGAGAAATATGTGGAAAAGTCAGTGTAAACAAACCAGGTCTCATGGGGGAATAAGGAGAACATAACACAAAACAAAGAAAGAGAAAAAAAGACAGAAAGAGAGAGTGAGCGTAATATGCTTTCGGAGCTGACACTACGAGAGTCAAGATGGAAATGGAAACCGTGGGGGTTGTGGAGGATATGCAGCCAGGGTGGAGATGTTAAAATGAATAATTAGATAACACAAACGAAACAAAATAACTATCCTCTTCTGGGACAACACAAGATGGCCACCTGGTCCTTCAGATAGCACTAATTAGAGCATCCGTACGGCCAACGTGATCTCATGATAATTCGTATGTATTTTACGTCAAATGTGGTTCTATAAAACGTACATTTACTTACGTTTTTACAGGCACTAAAATGTCGGCAGTGGAACGAGGATTGAGGACACACTTAATTACACTTCAAGATTGTTTATGCTACCAAACAAGAAAGGCAAACACCTTCTACAGGACGGAACACGTGCTGAGGCTGGAATCTTCTTCCTCTCTGAGTGTTTGCTCTTTCTATAAGAAAGTTTGCATGTCTGAGGCTGGCAGGTGGGGGAGGAAGGGTACAGCTGTTATAGTTTCAGCCCAGGAACGAACCGTTTGATTCAAGGACGGCAGGCGAACACACTGACATCTGGCAGCCCTATACTTATGTACACTAATTAAAAAAACAAAACCAGCCATCAGTCGTACACTACGGAGCCGTTGATAATAATTTACTCTCATTGCGACTGTCATCTCCAGATGTGTTGGGCTGTCTTCGCTAGCTAGGCTGAACGGAAGTAAATGAGGTATTATGAATCTCCTCCTCTGGTGGATCCCGCTCTAGTGTGATTTTCATGGCTCTGGAATTTTGTATCCAAATAATTAAATGTTAAAAAGCTGAAAAATCAATAAGTCGCATAAAATCTTATATGTTCAGCTTTTATCCTCGCGGACTGAAGCCGAGAGGAGCAATAAAAACCTTTACTGAAACTGTGTCGGGACACATCTCTCTCTTTAAGTGCTTTGATTGGGAGTAATTTACAAGGCCAGACCGGGTTGATTTGAATTTTCATTTGCACAGTTTAATCCTGCCAGGACAAGAGGAATTAGTCAGTTCTCTGTAAAGAAGTGCTGTCTTAAACCACAGAGTATTACTCAGCAGAGATGTGGAAAACAATTAGCATTGCTTGCTAATCCTCACGGCACATTTTTAAATGTAAGCGGGGGGTTGCTGATCGCCCACGGTCGCTGTGTTTGGGAAACAGCAGGCACGGTGCAAATCAGATCTTATTTTGACTCACGTCATGAAACCCTACATCAGTCTGACAAGCTATAAAACAGAAACATTAGTCAAGTTTAAGAAGGCATTTTAGATTCAGATCAGCATGGGCCAGAACATTTTGTGTGAGTCCCATTGCCACCTTTTCCAGGAAGGAGAGAAAATGGGGGCACCCTCATCACTTCCCCTCTCCTCGAGAGCAGAAATGGTCTGTCATGGCTAATTCTTGAACTGATCGCTCTCTGACTCGCCGTTCGGATGTGAAGCGAGAACCTAGCCACTTCCAAGAAGTGTGAGCGTGCTTTGACGAAAAGTGATATCCAATGCTCTTTCCTCAATCTCAAGCTCTTTTCCTGATTTGTCTGACCCACTCAGACCAACAGGAATCACTCTGCCCTACAATGACAAAAAAAGGAAGAGGTAACACTACATACAATATATAAATACAGTATATATATATATATATATATATATATATATATATATATATATATATATATATATATATATATATATATCTCTACTAGTGCTCGCCATAATAAATAGATAGCTCTTACTTTTTCCTTGAAAATGCACGCTTCAAACAGAACAGTCAATGAAGACGAAGAAGAGAATGATGTGTAGCTCCCGGCGCCGATTTATACTGGAGTCGCACCGGTAGTGACGTCATGGCTGTCGCCGGCCAACGAGTTGGTGTTTTTTCAATGTATGCTTCAGACACGGGTCACGACGAGGCGTTCCCCATAGCGACCCCTAGAGGACGCAGTTCGAAGTTCCCATGAAAGGGAAATAGCACCATACTGGACATACTACTCTATTTTTACTGCTAGTTTTTTCATTTACTCCATTTGTCTCCATTGTCCTACCACATGGTGTCAAGCACATAGAACTGTTGTAAAATAAGCTGCAATTGGTTTTAAAATGACAAACTGTCTTTCTTCTGTCTGAAATATTATTGTTTAATCAAGTTATTTTTAATCCAAAGTGAATGATCTAAGAGCCTGTCTTTTGCAGCATTATTACGTTATGGATTTCTCACTCTCCTCACACAGGACCATAATAAGGGGTTTAAGGTGAGGCTGTGTTTTATAGTGGGTTCAGAGTCTGTGTTTTTTAAAAATAATGCCCTGTCAATCACAGTCCTTCAAAACACTCCACCGGCTCCTAGAGAGTCGTGAGGTACAACAGCTGCCAGGAGTCATGCGTCGCTCCACTCCACACATGCATGTAAAGACAAACAAACACACACTCAAACCTGCTCAAGACTGAAAATAAAGTTTTGGTCATATCTGTGGTATGTGCTGCTGCTTTAGTCCCAGAAGCATATGGTGAGTGTTTAATAGTGCTAGTTAACTTCTGGGCAAACATTCTGTATGTTGGATTGAAGGCTCTGTCTCCTGCCATTTAAATTTTCCTGTAGTGGTGGTGTAGTCCTCAGGCTGGAATTACAGACAGCACTGGTTTTCTAAAGGCTAACTGTCCTTCTTTTATAGTTCTAACATTTGACAAGTATTGTGTTTTTTGAAAGAAGGTCCTACAAGTATTCTGCATTTTTTGGAGGGGTAAACACTCCCTAAAGCGATAGTTCAACCAAAAGCAAAGCTCTGTCATCATTTACTTACCCACATGCCATTTTAAACCGGTGTGACTGTCTTTCTTGTTTTTTTGTTTGTATTTAGTTTTTTTGGACTTTTATGATTTTGATTAGGATTCAGAGAAAAAAAGAAGGAGGACATATCAAATAGAAATTCAGATTTCACTGAAATATTTTACTTTGGTAATATAGTTTGTAAAAAATATATATTTTTTCTCTAAATGATCCCAGTAAGTATCAAATCACCACCGCTTTTTGGACTTAATCACTTAATCGCAAAGCAGTACACAATAACAAACATTTAGTTTGTAATGTGTAATGTTCGATAGCCTTTCTTAGAAGTTTAGAAGTGACTGTGTTGTTCAACGTTCGCTGTCAGAGTTCCTGTGAGGACCTGGTTTTAAACTGGAAGTAGGGTAATGGCTTCTGGGGAAACACCATGAGTGCATTGTGAAAGGTAGGACAGCAGTAAGAGAGATGGTTTATGGTCACGAGTAAAAGGACATGTGAGCCTTGTTATCCACAAACACAGAGCCCATATTGTTCTTTTCAGTATGTGGAATGGGAAAGTTTGTGTATGTTTGTGTGTCAGTGTGTACTCACAGATATTTGCTGTGCCCTTGGGGATGGGGAGATAGGATCCTGCACTCCAAGCTCTGGCCTGATAATTCCTCTTACAGCGGCCACAGTCAGGCCCTGTGGTGTTGTGCTCACACTCGCAAGTCAGTCTCTCTTTGTCATAGATGCAGCTGTTGGCATGAAGGTTGCACTTGCACCTGTCACGGTGAAAGAAAAAAAAGAGAAATAAGAAATAAAACATATGCCCTTGTGGATTTTCAATCGTGGAGTTCAATTACACCCGTGCGGGAGAAAAAATTGGAACCAGCACTTAGAGACCAGAGTGACCTTGTAAATCATTTGCATTTCAAGTAAACGTGCATCTACATGTGGAGGTATTCTGAAGCTTCCAGAAAGTGACTTCAAAACCTTGCACATGGTGTCAAGGATTCTGCAAAATCCACATCATTATTTTTCTGTTTTTTCTTTCCTCTCGAAAGATAGGTTATTTATAATTATCCCACTGGAAAATAAATAATTACATACAGGTCACACCTTCAGTGAGAGAAAGAAAACAGTTAAATAATATAAAAAATTAAGTGCTGTATATTTGGCGTATATGTTGCAGACTTTGATTATTTACAGAATTTTTGCTATATATATTCTATTTAATATCAATAAATCCTGAAGCACGTGTGATTGTTTTTAATCCTCAGAGGCAGTCATGTTTTAAATGTTTTGGTAATACATTCAGTATGGCCACTAAGGACAAACCCCATGCAAGCATTTGTCTCACATACAAACTATGCAGGGAGGTTTGCTCCCCCATTTCTTCTCTAAGCACGGAAATTGATTTTGTATGCAGGAAGGCAAAAGATGGATATTTCTGTGGCACACATGCAGTACTGACAAAAAAATAAATATGATGCAGTTATGTGAAACTGTTGTGCAGCTAGAATAGAGTAGCTTAACATGTTTATATGTGTGTCTGTTTTTCAGTTCAACTGTGATTCTTGCTCCTAATTTAAAAAATAAATTGACTGTCAGTTGGACAAATATTTTTTGAACTCATTTACTGAACTACTTTGACTACTATAAATCAGTGGTTTTCCACCTTGTTTCCCCAACATGCTTATGTATGTGATTAAGTGTGACTCCAACGAATCACTTTTTGTGGCATAAGGGAATAAAAAATAAAAATGGAAATAGAAAACAGAATTTATACATATAAATGAAGGATGAAAATTAATACTTGGCCCAATTGCCTCTAATGTAAATGTATTACTATAAATATTTTACATTATTATTACAGCTGAAATAATACCTTGTGGTAATAAACATCAAGTCACATATTACAGATTAAAGTAACATTTAAAAAAAATAAAAAGCTGATCAGTCGCTAGTCTTTGATCTAACTTTTTCCAGACTGAGGCTCCTCACGGATTACGGACATAACCAGGCTCTTGATGTCTGCCGTCTCTCTTTCTGTGTGGGCACAGAGGAGCATTATTAAAACCATTAAAACTGGTGTGTCCGAAGAGATGCGCGTGCAGGGGCTGATAAATGTGATGCACCGAATCACGTTTGGAAGTGACAAATGACTGCTCAGTCCCCGCAAGTATACACGGGCGGAATAAATGAGAGGGCATTATTCTCCAGACACGCTGATTTACATCTCATTATCTATAGTTTTTTTTTATTATTATTTAATTTAACAGAAGGGCATGTCAAATCTCAAGATTCTAGGACATTCTCTTTAAAACTGGCACCTGTCAGCCAAGCATGAATCTGTGAAATGTCAGCAAGCTTGCACACATAAAATCTCCCACCAAATAATGACATATGATGCAAATTAGTCACTGATAGTATAGTGGGTCATTAAACCGCATATAAACAGTGAGTAATAGACTTCTGAGACATATTAAAACTACACAAGAGTAAAAACCATAAAACAGGGTGTTTTACAGTGACATGCAACAATTCAAGCAATGAGGTACTTGTTTAGTAAGAAATATGCATTGCAATGAATGGCTCACAAGCCTGAACTAACAAGGCTGGTCCAGTGACTGAACAAAACAAAGCCATCGAGCTGCAAGGAGTAAAAGGCATGCATGGCATTCTGATGAGGCCTCATTGTTCTGTTCAGGTGGAGGTCTCAGATTCCACGCTGCACTCCTTGTAGCTTGACCTTCATATCCTCTTATCACCAGTAACATTTTAATCACAGTGTTGATACGAGGCAGAGCTGTGCTGCTGATGTAATGAAGGGGACACAGCAAGGGCCCGCCGGGTCTCTTTGCCGTCGGCATGGTAGCATCGCTAACAGAAACGAAACATTCTCATTCCAGTCTGGTCACCAGGGGCGACGAGGTGCAATAGCTTCACCTCGAGAAGCACAGTAAAAAAATATATATATATTTAATTAGACTTTAATGCCAAAGCTGCTCTCCAGGGCTCCACCATAGAAACTGTGTCTTAATTTAACCAGGGCTATGCCATATTCACAATCACTACCTTGTTCTGATAAAGGATTACAGTGAATGTGCAGTTTGCTTGTGAGTTTCCACAACAGTCTAATATGTTGAGGGACTGTCCCCTCAAAAAGGACAATTATATAATCAGTTACTCACCTTCATGTCATTCCAAACCTGTATGCATTTCTTTCTTCTGTGGAACATAGAAGACATTTTGAAGAATTTTGGTCGCATCAAATTCCATAATATGGACAAAGAAAAATACTAAGGAAGTCGATGGAACATGAAACATATGGTTATCAACATATCAGAAACATACCAAAATATCTTCTAAGTGTTTCAAAGAAAAAACAAAAACAAATCATGCATAAACACTGTAAAAATTATTTAGCAGTTTAGTTGTTTCAATTAATTTTTTTTAAGTTACAACTATAGGTTTTTGAATAGCAGTAATAATAGCTTTTGTCTTCTATAAACAACCCTGCAATAAGGATAGATTCAAATATGTTAAATTTGCTTTTTTTTTGTTCTAATTTCATGTGATATGTAATTTAAAAGCCTCATCTGGATTGTAAAGTATGGCTTTGGTAATTGAAACGTACTTGTCATGACATTTGACTTTCTCTGTAAAGATTCATTTTGATTATTTTACAGTGTTGTTTTAACATGTTTCTGTATTTTTCATGTTTATGATATTCTGGAATTACTGAAGATCAGCGCAGAATTCAATGATCTTGTGGATGGACCGCAGGAAGTTCTTCTGCAGTTGTAGCCATCAAAGTGCTATGCAGACATAATGGGAATGACTGTAGAGCTTGGACAAAGTTGTAAGTAAACGTATTTACTTTACAAGTGGACATATTTATTGGAGTCTGTAAGCTTTAAGATTGTAATGCACACTTTAATACTTCCCTTTGTTTTTATTAAAGCACACAGGTTCTGATCAGGTTGGATACAGTTGGAATTATAGTTCTGGGTGACCAAAGTGAGCACCATAAATCTGCAGTGATGTGTTCCTGGTAATAGAAGAAGAAATCTAGGTGATCTGGGGCTGTAACACATTGTGGCATTGTGTACTACGTTAGACTATCCAGTAGTGCTGGGCGGTATACCGGTTCATACCGAATACCAGTGTTTATTTTTGTTATATGATTTTTTTTAAAACCGCAATACGCAGTATGTTGCTTAAACAACGTTCGGAACGCGACACTGTTTGAAAGGGGTCACTTTTCACTGTTGCACTGTGGTGAGGGAACAGCAGTTATGTGTTACTAAGCGTGAAAGTTCCTAAACTGAAGCTGTAGAACTAATAGAACGTGATGACACAGAAGAACTCATCCACAATATCCACATTGACCACCACAAATATCCACCGCCCCCTGCCATCAGCTCCCACACACACGAGCGCGACTTTAGCACTAGATTTAGCAACTTTCAGACCCTTTTAGCGGCTTTTTTCCATAGAATATTCATACTGACAAACCTACCGACTTTTTTGGATAAACCATAGCTACGGTTCAGTTGGAAGATTTCACCAGTGCTGTCCCGCAAACGTGAGGTCTGACTTTCCCGGAGAAGTGTCTCCTTTCTCGGCATCTGTTCTGTGCAGTGAGCGGCAGAGAAGTAGCGCATTCAGTTGGCCGCACCGCAGCCGACTCGTCAATAAATGAGTACAAAACAGCGTTTCCAAGCACCTGCCGCTTACTGATTGTTTGGAATTATAAATATGAGCGTAGTTTGTCTGTTAATATCACATGCACTTTTTTGTTTGTTGTTTTTTTTAGTTTGTTACTCAGACGCAGACAGTGCGCTGCATGAGACAAAAAAGTAATATAGCCAAAACAATCGCATAGCCGCTCTTTAGTGTAGATGCATGTTGATTTTATCAGACGATGCCGCGATTATAAATGAGAGTGACTCCTGGTTAACATATATTAAAAGGGGTCGTGTTTAGTCACTGATTAGTGTAGTATTTTTTGACAATATTCACTCATCATGACAGTAATATAGGGCATTCTAAGTCAATATACTGCAGTATTCCTCTCTCAATCAGTAGAAAATATGGATAACACCCAGTCATGCATGAAAAAAACACCATCATGTACCGTGAAACCGGTATAATTTTTAAAAATACTGTGATATAAATTTTTGGTCATATCGCCCAACACTACTATCCAGGACTTGTCACAGCACTTAAAGGCAAAATTGTTTGATTTTTATTTTTGCTTTGTGTTTTAACATTTTCATTCAAGCAGTTTTTGTTTTTCACATTCATTTACACTTATATATATACTTTTCAGGCAGTGCAGTGTTAATATGTGAATGGATAATTCGTTAACAAAAAGCTTTTGCCATGTTAACTTGTGCTGAAGTTTATTTAACTCATAACTTTAAGGCAACCATGTAAAGTGTTGAGGTAATTGTTATAACAAACTTTATGTACAGTAGTTGAGTGAACTTAAATTTGAAAGTTTACTTAATCCTATTGATTGCTTGAATAAATTGATGCAATATTTAATTCAACATTATGACAACAAAACAATGAATCTTTAAAAAAATTATCTTTAATTCTAAGAACAAAATATTAGTTGAAGCAACAAAATCACTATATTTGTAATAATTGAAATTCTTAGTTTCAATTAACCTTTTTAAGTTAAACCAGGTTTGGAATAACATGAGGGTGAGTAAATAATCACAGATTTTTTTATTTTATTTTTTGGTGGACTATCTACCCCTTTAAAGAA